TTGCCTTCTTCCTTAAGCCTGTTTCCTCTTCCGGGTCCTTTACTTCCATATCCACCCAGCAGCCAACCACAAAACTCATTCCCAACTCCTCATGCCTGGCTATCCATACCTCCTTCCCACTCAAGGGGCCTTCAATGACGATCTCTTCTATACATCAAATTCATCTCAATTTCTGGGATGTCGGCCTTCCCTACCTGGTCACCCTGCATTCCACCCCTACTTTTTTTCCCCACCTTTAACCATGCTCATGTTTGCCTATTTTTCCCACCTTTAACCATGCTCATGTTTTCCCCATTTGTCTTTTTCAAAGATTGATTTAATCACCTTCTTTCTATAAACATTTGATGAGTCCTCAAAATCCAAACGATTAGCAAGGCATCAATTCTATCTATAGTCTCAGCCTGACCTGCCCAATATGCTAGACGCTAAGCACCTGTAACCATTTAAAATTGTTTTTTATCATTAAATACAAGGAAAACTTAGGTTCTTAGTCATATTAGCCACATTTCGGGTGCCAAACGGCTACATGCAATCAACTCATCCACAGTTGTTATCTATTTTAGGAAACCTCCTGCAGGCCTTGGAATACATCAAATGCAGACCCTCTGGGCTCTCTTTCTAACCTGGTCTTTGTCTCACTGCACTCTCGTTGTTTATGGAAATGTCTCTTCCACTCCCTCAGACCCTCTAGGACAGTGGGAGGCTGAATCCAAGCCATCTTTGCGTTCTGAACCTTTACAGAAACTGATGCCTGGGACGGACACCCATTTATTCCTCTTCCTTTCCCTTAAGAGTTACCCTTATTGTAAAGAAGCAGAAATAAACTATAAGATGTTCATTTCCCATTTTGTAGAAAAGAATAATGAAGATCTCCACCCCAGGCATCCTCCCTTCAGGCACTGACTCCAGGGTTCTCTGAGAATAGACCCTTCCGTTGCTCACCTCCTCTCCAAGAGCAGACTCAGTCCTTGTCTTTTAGAACCACTGGGAAACAATCTGGCAAGAGCCACTGTTGTGCCAGCTGATTTAAATTGAAATGTTTTCCCCAGATAAATGCGTGCTAAATAATACACCAGCTCTCCAGCCAAAGGAAAGTGACAGGCACTCTGTAAATAAAGGCACTTAGTTGCTGGTAAAGAGCTGTAAAGTGGTTCTGAGCCGATGTTTGCTGACCAGCAAGAAGCGACTTCACCTGCTTTATATAATTGTCACTGCAGTTTCGCCTGCTGTATATTAAAACTGCATCTCATAGACCCAAATGTCACATTGGATATACCATCCAGCGTGGGGTATGCCACCTTTTCCTGTAATTGTTTTTGACAACCAGCCATCACATCTCCTATCTTTTCAGAGCGTGCCTGGTACAGACTCCCTAGGCTGGGTCAGTTCTGACACCATGCGGGCTAGAAAAGTGACACCAAAAGGAAATATGAAAAGAGAGGCGAGGAGCAGAGAGGAAGCTTAATAACACACAGTGGCAAGCACCTAGACACAAATCCCAGTGGGGGCTCCACTTCCTCAGTGTCAAGACATGTTTCCCATGTCCAACTGTAACACTTTAGAGAAACTTCCCATAAGGCTGCATGAATATTCTAGCCCTGGAGCACATTTATCCCAAGTCCACATCCTGTCCTGCTGGGTTCCGCAAAGATGATAACATAACTTTACAACGAAGCTGAGGCTGGGGCTTTCATAAAGAATAACCGAATATATAATGAAAGTTGGGGTGATAGTGGTAAAAGAAAAAACTATGTGGTTAACACCCACGGGGATTTCAGTTTGTTTCCCAAAATGAAAAGTAACATGAAGTCCGTTCTGTTCTGTATAATTCTAATCCTATTGGAGCTTGGTCATGCCTCACATTCAGATGAAGAAGGAAGTGCGAGGCCAGTGGGCATCCTAGTTGTCAAACAAGGGTCAGAGAAGAGGGACCAGGAAACAGCTCCCCTCCTGGCCCATGGCCTGGGGACAAGCAAGGGGTTAAGTGTAGGACCATGGTCAAAGGTGAGCACTGGAGCAGGAGCCACTTGGCTGTGTTGATAGAACCACTGGACCAATGTCTGTGGAATATCAGAGAGTCACCAAAGGATGTTGTCCAAAACCAAGGACAGGATAGGAGCAGAGATGGGGTTGGTAGCTGACAGCTCTCACATTCCGTCTTTGAAAGAGAACAGAGTGTAGGCTCCTAGGAAGGACAAGTTCCACTCCACTGCTGAGCAGTGGACATCCAGATGACTACTGGATGTAGAAAACTAGATCCTGCTTTCTTTTGAGTGTGTATGTCTTGGTCTATGCAGGCCACCATAACAAATAGCGTGGCTTATAGACAATAGACATTTACTTCTCACAGTTGGGGGAGCCAGTGAGCCCAAGATCATGGAGTCAGCAGGTCTAGTGCCTGGTGAGGAGCTGCTTTCTGGTTCATAAATGGTGCTGTCTTCACCTGGCAGATGTGTGCTGAGCCTCCCTCAGTCCTCTTCTCTAAGGGCACTAATCCCTTCACACAGACTCCACCCTAATCACCTCCCAAAGGCCCTGCCTCCTGAGCTTTGCATGGGGTGGGTTAGGATTTCAACATAGAAATACTTGAGGGGACACAGACCTTGAGACACCGCAGTGTGCGCACATGAACATATAAAACAAAGAGGACTTTTCTTTCTTTAAAGGAAAAAATCAGCCCCCATTCTCCTTCTTGTCTATCATCTGCCAAACCTATTTTTTCTTGCTTATTCCTGGGATTAAAAAGAATGCATAAACAATTTTTGAGCATTGGAGAGGGGAAAGTATTAGTACCAGTTTGGCCACTATACAGAATCTGAGAGGTGGGGTGGGTTTATGAGCTTTGGGACTAAATTACGCATTGAGATTCTCATCTACAGACTTTGAAGCTCATGAGAATTAAAATGAGAAGACCAGGAGTGCTGGGGAAAGAAAGTGCTTTCCTGCCTCGTTCATCTCCACCAAGGGGAGAACTGCTGCTTCTGTTCCTTGCTGTCCCCTTGGCTGGTGTGTCTAAGGTACACGAGGCATGTCTAATCAGGTCAGGCAGTGTGTTCCTTGCTCCGGGTTTGTTAGCATAAAGACTTACAGCGCCTTACAGCAGTACATCCAAGCCACCTGGGGATCTTTCTGGAATGCAGGTTCTGACAGGTACGTCCCGGGTGGGCTAAGAGCTGGCATCTCCAGCCAGCTCCCCCGGGTAATGCTAATACTGAGGGAAGATGCACTGATGAACAGGGCTTAAAGGCAGGGACTCACTGCCATCCTCTCCTTCACTTCCTGTCTTCCCACATCTCCTTTCACCCATGCTGCTAAGCCAGGCTCTGTCTCCTCTCTTTGCTGCCAGTAAGACCTCAGGGCTTCTCTTAGAGCCTTGATACACTGTTCTTTTGCAGAGTGGCGCAAGTGGAAGTTGAAATTTAAATTTGGCGATGGCAGAAAGGAAGGTAGAGTGGAGAGGTCAAAATCCAGTCCCAGTCAGGGTTATATCAGAAGAATGGGTGTCATGCTATTTCATGTTTGAGGAAAATTAGAGTTTGACACAACCATCAGAGGGGCTGAGGAAGCCAAAGTCGAAGAGGTCATGATAGTTGTTTCATAGGCACCACCAAAGGGCAAGGTTCTTCCAAGTTTGACCAGAAGCTGCTGTAGATGTCAAGACCCTCAGGAGAGTTCCCACCTCCTCTCCCTGTCTCCAGTAGCAAAGCCACTAGCACTCAGGAAGCAAGCCTCCCTAAGAGTGGCCTGCTTACAGGGCAAGAGCTGCTCAGATCTGCTCAGGGTCTGGCAGGAGCTGCTCCCACAGTCAAGGTCCCTCTTTTTCTTCCATTCTCCAAAACTCACCCCACACCCTTCTCCCACTGACAGGCTCTGCCCAGAACTGCTGAAAGGAAGGGAGCCCATAGGGAGGAGATTTCTAGGAACTTTTTGATCCTGGCTTTGCCACAATGCTGCAGTGACATTGGAAGTAGTGGCAAAGCTGGGCTGACAGAAGTTCACGGAGTTTACAAAAGATAATCATGGGCACAGTTCTAGGCTGCATGATAGTGATGGAGTTGATCTTCCTGAAAGCCCTGCATGCTGAGCTCTACCCAGCTGTCAGGTTACGCTTCCTATCCTAGCAGCTGCGGTTCTCATGGGCTATGCTTCCTCAACTCTGCAGCCTAGCATGATGGGCTTCAGATGCCATAAGGCATCCAGTAGCACCTGTCCAGTAGCCATGTGTGACAGCCATCCTGTACTGCATGGCAAACCCACACTGGTGTCACTCAGAGGAGCATACATCTCAACCCATCCTGTTCGTTATGGATTTCTGCTGCACTGCCTCTTTGAGACTCTTAGATGACATCTTTACTTGTACCTGCCCAGGATCCTACAGCAAATGACAGGAAAGAGGACACCGAAGAAGGCAGATCTGTGTCATTTAAGGATGTTGTGCCTCCTTAGGAACAGGTGTGGGATGACAAGTGTCACCTCTTACTAAATGACTTTCAGTGCCCATAGAGTCCCCTCTCCCTAGGGATCACTATCCCCTGGTCAGCAGTCTTAGAAGCCGCCCTGAGAATGCAAAGCTTAACACACCCATCTCAGTTCAACGGCAAAAATGCAGATGGGAGGACACATTGGGGACTGTGTAGCCAGCATCTTTTGAGTGCTCTGACATTTAGCAGGTGACCCTGGTCTTAAAGCCACCATGCAGAGAAGCTGAAGAGATGGCTACGTAACAATGTGTTTATTGTCACGGAAAGCCATGTAATGTGGTGTGTGTGTGTGAGAGAGAGAGAGAGAGAAAGAGAGAGATATCAAGGCTGAAACCTGAATCCTGGGATGGCAAGAGGAAGAGGCAGCAGATGCCCCTCTGAAAGCTATGACGGCGACCGCAGGTTTCACTGCCAGGCAGGCTGATGTGAGCCTCTTTGAATTACTGAGTGAAGGATATCCCTCTTGCCAGCCCCTGTCCCCCGCAGGCACAGCGGAGAAGTATTACAGGCTGTCCTTACCTTGGGAATTAGCCTGCAAGACCCCGATGCTGTCATCAAACTGCATAGATTTGATGTTGAGTGACGCCAAGATGCATTCCTTGTCCTGCAGCGAAGTATCATCAATATTATTCTGATTGGCTGACAGGATAACGCACATGTCACAGAGGTTGATGTTGACAGCCCTTAAATCAGCTCGACTTAATGGCGTACCCTTTGGCATAGAGAAAAAAAAAAAAAAGGAGAGAGGGAGAGAGTCAAAGAGAGAGAAGGAAGGAGGGAAAAAATAAAAACAAATTAAAGATTGAGCCAGAGCTCTGGGAAATTATTTAACTAGTATCTTTTTCATGCCTTGACATTAAGCTGGCCTAACTGCATTTCAGGGAATAGGGGCCGCGTGCTAATCTAAAGGGTAGTTGGTGCTGATGGCGGCATTTCAGGCTGGCTCTCAATACTCAATCAAGCTATTACTAACAAACGTGCGAGAGGAATAATGCCAGGGTCTACATCGTCTTCCTGTCTGGAAATTGTCTTGATTTAAGAAACTGTCCTGTGGCAACCTCTGGCTTTCAGAATGTAACAAGAGGGTGGGTTTCCAATGCCTGTTTATTTCTTAGCAGGTCACTTCCACCTCAGGCAAATGACAGCAGTTCCAACTAGAATTTCCATTGCAGCCTAGGGGAATTCAGGGTGAGCAGGGTGTGTGATAAGGTGGGCCTGGAAGCTCTGCCAAGTTTGGAGGCTCTTCAAGGTAGTGGAGCAAAAGTGCCTCTCACACAGGAGAGATAGGAAAGAGTCAGCTTTGGTTCTTATAATGGCATCACATATTTTCAGCAAAAATAAAGAACAGGGAAATCACCTACTAATCCAAAAACACAGGAATGGTTAGGGACACTGCTGGACACGGGATCAGCAAAAGATGGAGCACGTGTAGAGGGAGCCAGTTCCCCATGCAGTCATTGACTTAGAAAAAAATCTCTTAAAAGTGCTAAGTGAAAAAAGTTCCAGAACAATTCAAAACAGTGTAACTTCATTATGTAAAAAAAAAAAAACCCTCAAAATCAAATTATATATTTATAAATGTATGTAAATTCAAAGAGAAAACTCAGGAAAAATACACATTAAACTAATAACAGTAATTACCTCTGGGGAGAGGAAAAGGACAGAGAGGATGGAGGGGAAAGTTTGCTTTTGACTCTGTATACTTCTATATTGTTTGAATATTTTATAACAAGAACATATTTGTATATTACTGGAGCAATTAAAAATAAATAAGCCAGTAAACAGATTTTTTTAAAAGTCCCATAACAATATAAGACATTGGAAAAAACATCCAGATCTAGGAGGTAATGACAGAAAGTCTGGGAGTGCAGCCATTGGAAAATAGGGGGATAGGGCCATGACCTCTGCATGCTTTGTGTTCTTGGGAGGAATCACAGCACAACTAATTGGGTCAGTCCTTGTCTGAGCTCCCAGCAGCCATGCAGCACCACTTTGGGGTTCCCATTCAATCACCAGCCCCCTAGGTCCACTACCTCCGCTTGGCCTGCACTGAGACACCAGTTGACTTCAAATCACTGCCTGTGCAGGACGAGAGCTGGCTAGCTGCTATCTCTATCTCTACCTCAATCTCGATTTGTACTTATATCCATATATCCATATATATGTATCTATACATAAATATCTGGATGCCTTCCATTCCTCTTCCTACAAAGTGACTTTGGGAAGATAGATCAGCCTTCCATGGGGGGTACTATTTAAACAATGACATGTGGAAATCTGTGCAAAATTATAGACTCTTCAGCTTGAGTGTGCTATATTTTGGAGGGTTTGGAAAGGATCTACACATTCCACCACTGATTCATATTGACAGAAGCAGATGAGAGCACACAGAATCAAATACACACACACAACATGCACCCATGAATAGCAAACATCACTCATCCAACACCCTACACACATGCACACAGACTCATGATGCTTTAGAGGTCAAGCAACCGTGTATAACAGCACATGTAGCATGATCACCTGAGAAATATTATAATCAAATCTACCATATTTCTGAAATTAGCAAAGTATGCACAGTAGATACTTATGCTCTTATAAATACATGGCTTTTTGTTTGTCTGTAGGTGACCATCTTTAACTACATGTGCTTACTAAAGCAATTAGAGTTGGGTTTTGCATCCAAAAATATATCTAATTTCTTTTTGTTCCTTTACATATTTATTGAGGACTGATTAAGTCTGGCTTTATATAACACAAATGGTTGCTACTAATGCGTACTACTTGTGGACAGATCCCTATGTAGTTTTTAACCGATTATATTACTTAGCACTTTCTTTTTCCATTTCTGAGACTCTGGAAGCTGATAACAGAAATAATGAATGTTAGCTTCTGCGATAAAGGCAAATGCAGACCTCTTGACATACAGAAAAATCCATGTTCCTGGTTTAGGGATATGAATTTATAAGAAAAATATCTGGAGATAAGTAATATTTGTAAGGATTTGTTATATAGGCAACTGTATCAAATGCTGAAGAACACAATGCTCTATAGTTTTTTGAAAGTTTGTAGCAAATACAGAGCTTACGATTAAAAAGTGGTTAGATACATGAATTATGTAGTCCATATCCTTATGTGAAATTGAGGAGCCCCAAACTGTTCATTATATATTGGTGTACTTGTATTTTATAATCAGTAATATCATGGACATATACATGCACACACTTACACATGCCATGCAAAAAGCATTGAAAACAGCGGACCTCTAAATACATGGTAGAGTCAGTCTTAGTGGCTCACACCTGTAATCCTAGCACTTGGGAGGCTGAGGCAGGAGGATCACTGAGAATTCGAGGTCAGCCTGGGCTACAAAGTGAGTTCAAAGCCAGCCTGAATTGCACAGTGAGACCCTGTCTCAAAAAGACTAAGTAAATAAATAAATAGTGGGTGGGGAGTTGGCCACAGAAGGGTTTGGCCTTCTGTGCAAAAGAAATAACTGACTTGTCATTTATATTTATTTAATCAGAAGCTGGTACAGATTGAGGGTTCTTGAAGCATTAACAGCATCATAAGTAAAATGCCACAAATACTTATAAGAGTAAATTCTTGCCGTAAGCATCACAGTATCACAATGTAGTATGTTCTGTGTGGGTAACAGGAGAAAATGTTTAGACACTGATATGGTTAATACATGTGATATTAGCTTGACTTCATTCCTGATCTTGGTTGCAAGATCTTTTTAATAAGGTCTCTCAGGATTTGTACTTTCCTCAACAATGCATAGGGGAAGGGCTGCGTCCTCGGGCCCATAGCCAGATGAAGAAGCAGAGGCATGATCAAAGTACAAAGATTATATCCATCTGGGGTTTTCTTTTATGAATGAAAAGAAGGCAAAAAGCATCAATAGCATCGATACTGTGACCTTGGACTTACAGGCAATATGGACACTTTAGGGAAGTTATGGAGTGTTTCCCATTCCCTCTTGAGGTACTCAATGGAGCCCACGAACACAATGTGCTTGAGCTCATGGTAATGGAAGTTGCTGGCACGGAGTGGCATCACCAGGTTCCGGAGGCCAATCAGGGCTGAGCTGACGTCACCAAAGATGCAGACCACAACATGACCACTCAGCACGGTCATGGCAGCCTCACTTCGAGTCTGCAACAGGGAAAAATGCAAGTGTTAGAGAGAGGACCTCATAGCTTTGTAAGGGGGAAAAACAATCATTGGTGCAAGGGGTCAATGGAATTTTTGTTAAGTGCTTACTATGTTCTATTGCCGTGGTTTATGTGTGGTCTGAGTTCCCGCAAGGGTCCACTCTGAATAAAGGCCCAGTGCCCAGGGTGGCACTGTGACCCTCTGGTAGTTCTCATGTGACTCCTGAATTCTCTTAAGAGGACCAGCGTAAACGGAGCAGCCCAACTTTGGATTTTAAATCCCCCCAAATATGAGCATACTAAATCTTTTCTCTTTAGTAGTTGCTTTTTTTCTTGTACCGGGAATCAAACTCAGGACCTTGTGCTTGCCAGGCAGGCGCTTGTGCCTCTGAGCTATATTCCTGGCCCCTAATCTTTTCTCTTTAGAAGTTTGTTGCCACATGTATTTCACTGTAGTAATGCAAAACTGACTAATATAGTTCGTCAATGTTATATACTGTATATGTTATCTGAGCATGCACATTTACATTGTATTTATGTAATAAACATAAATAACATGATGTAAACATACACCTATACATATCATTATTTTCTTGAGGAAAAGACTGAACAAAGATATCCTATACATATGTGTGAGCAAGAGCTATTTCATAATGACTTTCAGGAAGGATAAAGAAATATTTATGTTATCTAGAAAGGGGAAGTCTTAGTTTCAGTGAAATTGCTGATGAAATATTATGCCTTTTCAGGCTTTCTTGCTGAATGTGAGAAAATGTCATTCTCTTTGTGAATCTCAGCTCAAGATATTTGAGCTTTCGGTTCTCAGTAAGGTATCATAGTACATCATGGTATCAGTGGGTAGAACATACTATCTAAAGCCAGCGGCTGGCAAGTGTGACCCTCAGACTCAATCTGATGCTCCAGTCTTTGATAAGGTCACTGAGCTAAAAATAGATTTGCACTTCATAATGTTATTTTAAAAAAGCATCATATATGGAGATTGTAGGAAATTCAAATTCCAAGAAAGTTTTATTGGAATTCAGCCAAGTTCATCCATGGTTGCTTTCATGCTACAATGGCAGACACGATCAACTGCAATAGAGATCATATGACCCATGATACCTACGTTATTCATGATATAACCTTTTCCAGAACAAGTATGCTGAACCCTACCCAGTGCTGCTTGGATTCCCAGGGACAGTTCTAGAAGGACTCCCCTTATATAAAAAAGAAGTAATCATTAAAAGGGTCTAGAGACACATCCATAAGAGCAATAGGACAATGCCTTCCCCCAACCTCAGGTATGCATTTACAAAAAAGACAAATGAAACGGCCCCATGCAGGGAGGACTAATTCTCCATGGTTCGCCACTGCTGGGCCTTTTTGCTACCAAAGAAGACAATATAAGGAAGCTAGTCACGGATAATTCTTTGCCCCATGCTTCTAGCCCAATGCCTCCTGCCTTTCTTCCTGTTCACCCACCACATGCATGAATGGTCCCATGTGGCTTCCAATGCTTTGGAGGAGGCATATTAATGTCCACGACATATATCAAATTCTGCTTGATTTAATCCCTAGCATTGACCAGTGTATTGATTGTTTAAATGCCAATATTGCAATTCACGCAATGTCAGGGTTATTATAGTAACCCCCAAGGAGAGGAGGAAGCTAGCTCGCATTCCCTGATCGTTAGAATAAAGCAGGGGCTGTCACCATTATTGGTTTCCTTCTGCAGCAGTACCAGGAAATCTGAGACACAGGCTATAAGAAATGTCTTACTAAGACCAAGGAGGACCCTCCAGGGAGCTCACATCACCTATCACTGCTTCATGGAGAAGACTTAGAGATAGTTTTCCAGGCTGAATGGAAGTCTAACTGCCTGGGTACTACTAGCAGAGAGTCAACCAGCCTGTGACATGCTGTGATGGAGCTCCAAATTACTTTTAATTGGACAGGCCACCTGGGAGGCTAGCTCCCAACAAGCCAGACAAATACAAACTGGGTCTAATTATGCATAGGTGAGGTAGGTACCCTTTAGGAGAGTGGCCCAGGAATAGATGCTGCCCCCAGGATCAAAATTCCAGCTCTCCCATGTACCACATCAACATCATCTGGGAAACTTGGTAAAAACACATATCTCTGCACCTTGGCTCTGGAAAGTCTGATTCTGGCAGATTTAAGGCCTACCAGAGAAACCACTCATGTGCTTTTCTACGTGTCTTGTGTTTCCTGAGCATCCTTCCAGACCCAATCCAATCTCAGCCTTCATGGTCTTTTTAGTATATGTGCTTCCAAAGTGAGCACACTCTTCATGGTCCTAAACCCCTTCCGAGCACAGCTTATTTGCACATGGTGGGATGCTGCTGGCTTCTTAAACACATGCTGGAGCTTCTCCCTATATCTAAACAGCATTTTCTGCCTCATATTACTTAGCTTTTAATAGACCATTCCACAGCCACATTTTATATCTTCTCTCCAATTAGATGATCATTTCTTGAAAACCCAGGATCATTTCTTATACATTCTAATCCCTAAAGCCATTAGTATGCTACACCCAATGGGTAAGCACAGCCCCAATGCATCACCACATAGCTAGCCCTTCCTATCATTCACATCCACTCCAATAATTCTGAGAGTGTTTCTCGTATTATGCTATCTAAATGGTACCTCCCAAGCCATTTCTAGCCCAGAATACTGTTTTTCTTTTTTTACTTCACAGCAGCTTATTTATATCTGAAATACTACTATGCACTTATTTGCCTACCTGCAGGTCTTCTCTTTGCTGCACTGGGATGTAAAGTCTGTATTACACCTCCAGAACAAGAGTGGTGAGTGTTTCCTACCTGTGGCTGGATCTAGGGTGTGTGATGCTAGGATTGAGGGTGTGATGCTTGGATTAAGGGTATGTGATGACTACATTAGTCCACTGACTGGTTTAGCATGGATCTGGCGTGGGAAATGGGAAGGCCCAACCTGGGTGTGGGTGGCACCACCCAAAAGGTGGGTAGCCTAGAAAGGACAAAAGGGAGAGAGGCAAGCTGTTGCTGCTGTGATTGCTGCTGCTGAAGCTGCCTCCTGCCTTCCACACCATGGACCATTGATTTTTCTCTGTGATGCCCCCCTGCCGCGCCACTCTGCCTTGGAGCCAGCCAGTGATGCACAGAAACCTCTACCAACTGTGTGTTAAAATAAACCCTTCCTACTTTCACTTTGGGTGCCGGGTATTTTGTCTCAGCAATGAGAAAAGTAACAGATCGCTATAAGTGTTTTGCTAAATGATGTTATTTTTTCAGGTGAACTCATCTCCCTAAACTCTTTCCTTCTAGTAGGGGATGTTGATCAGATATCAGTTAGCACATACTGTGAAGGAAAATCTAGGCAAGTTATTTAAACCCTGGATTTCGGATCAAACAGCTAGTATGTGACTTAACACCGGTAGGCAACACCAGGCTGAACGGAGACAGGTAAGGTAAAAGTGTGGTGGATATAACAGAAGGTAGAAGCAGAAAGCAGTTTGGTGGCTTGGAACATTTTCTGTCCTGGTAAGTTACAAAGTGGCTGTTTGCTGAGAATTTTAACTTCTTGTGTTTCTGCCCACAACTGTTACACCTCTAAGACAGCCTGTAGTGTGATGCTGCCTTGGCTTACACTGCTTGTTTATAATTAAATTGATAAAACACCTACTCAAACACTGGGAAAAATCTAGTGGGTTAGAGGGCAAAGCTGTTCTGAGGGCCAGGAATGGTCATTGCTAAGGAAGGGTGCCCCTGACTTCAAAAATGATAGGCTTTTCCTGGCTGACAAAGGAGCTGGTGCACAGAAATCGGAGGATTAGCGGCATCAGGGAGAAAGAACCTTTCCATCTGACCTTCCTGATATTAATCCATTTTTCATGGATTAGCATGACAATAAACTCCAGGAAAAGTCGATGTAGGCATTAAAAGCTAGAGCTGTTAATAGGGCCAATGCAAAAAGTAGAATGGATGGTTATCTGTGCTGGGACAGCACATTCTGGGACAGAACAGAAGAAGCCCAACGCTGCTGCTGAGGTATTGGAGAGCCATCCATGAAACGAGGTTCTGAGCTCCAGCCTACCCAAGGGGATTGTGGCTCTGAATCAGCAGCAGCAGCAATGCGCGTGCCTGGCTACAACATGCCGCAGAAAGGGCCACAGATCCACAAGGCTGTTATTCTAAGGATACAGAGCATACTTGTAAATAAACAGTAATAAGGCAATACTGTGTCATTTAAGAAGAAGAATAATAAAAAACAAAACAACAGGTCACTTTATGGAGTCTTACATTTGACTTTAATCTTCATTACAACCATATACTTATGTCGGGGGTCATTCTTTTCTTTTCACAGATGAAAGAACTGAAATGTAGAGAGTGACAAGACCTGTCCAGGGCTGTGCGGCTCCTAAATGACCCAGGCCAGCTCTGACCGTACAGGCAGGTGGACAGAAATGAGCCATATCCTGCTTTCCATGATGCCTCACACCCACAGCACAAGATCACCACTAGACTAATAAGCCCATAAATATTCAGAGATTGAAATTTCTGTTCTCAGCTCATGTTCTGATTAGAGGTCTTATTGCCTGAGTCTCTGTTAGGAATTTCACTCATCAGGAATGATTAAGACCAGAAACTGTACCACCTCCTCCCCCACATCCAGTTAGGAAAACCTCATTCCCAAAGAAATGTAGGGCCAGGAAGAAACGTACAAATGGCAATCCCAGAATCCCTCACTCACCAGAATGACTTTCTCAATCTCCTTGGGAGCGCACCAATGAAACATCCCAGTGGAGTCATACTTCTTCACATTGGAGTCCATGTTGTCAATCTGATCATTCCCAGGAATTAACAAGGGGTCATGCCTGGGGAGACAAAGAAAGGATAACCTGAGCAGGGAACAAAGTAAATTATAAATGGAACGTGCCCCCTGAGTTACATCTAGGAGAACCTCAGAGAAGTAGAGGAGGCCATTTCATGGGTGGCCATGCTCTTGTTTGTACACCCACCCCTTGAAAGACAGCTGACTCAAACCACCACCACTCATAGGAGGGTGCCAGTTGGTTCTGTCAGCGATAATTCTGCCTTTCTCCTGCCCCTCTTTGCCTATTTGGGTTTCATTCCATTTTATGAATTCAGCTTACTTTTTTACGGCCATCCGCCTCCACATTCTCACATTTTACCAGCTATCCCATTTCCCCAACACACACACACACACACACACACACACACACCCTCACACCCCAAAGGGTTGCTATTAGCATTGGCAATGAAGAGGAAGGAACAAGGAACAGAGACTCATGCTGACTGACTGGCATGAGGATGGAAAGCCAATTACTCGCTCTTTCTGACTACAACTTCTGACGTGATGCTCTTCACAGTAAAAGCTTTAACAGGCTGCACTTTAAATATTTTAGCAATTTGCCCAATCAGATTTTGCTCTCCCCAGCTGAAGCCCTTTAAAGATTCAGCAGCATGTCACTTCAGAGCAGATTGACTACCAAATGCCCACATCTGGAATACATGATTTCAATACTAAACAACACCCTTGCTCCTCATCTTGACAACTGTATTTGCACTAACCATCCAGTGACACCCCACCCTTCCAGTTCAGCCTCCCTTGGATGAGTGCCTCAAGATGCATCTTAATAAACTAGTCTTGTATTCTCAGGGCTACATTCACCCTGCCTTGGCTTGTTTGCAGGTAGTGGAGGAAGGAGATTCTATAGTGGCCTCTCCTCCAGTGGCTGGCAGAGCCTCATTGACAACCTTAGGTATTATAATAAAACCAGGCAGGTTTAACATGTTCATGCCTACAGTGTAATGAATAAGCCCCGGCATCGTGGTCACATTCATTGCCTATGATTCCGTCTCCGATAGAGACGAAGCAACTCAGTTAGGAAGGAAGTGACTGGTGGCCTGTACAACACTGACCACATGTAATTAAGTCACTGTCCCAGGCATACCTAACTATGCTCACAATGAAGCTCTCTCATCCCTGAATATTACTCTCAGCCCAAGACAAACATTAGAAATAGGTGCAAAGTTCAAAGAAGTCAGGTAAAGTGATTTTAATCTTTAAAATTACCTATTTCAAGTATCAAAGAATAGCCTTTATTTAGTCTTCAGTATTTCCCCTTTTGAAAATTCTTGATACTTTTCCTTTAGATGTCTAGAATACAGAGAATGGGGTAGTAATCTTTCTTACCTGGTTCAAAGACCTTGAGGTTAGCTTTCAGATCTCTACCATGACTTTCCCAATATGCTCCCCATCCCACATAAAATAGGGAAACTCTCTCCCTGCATTTATTTATTTCTGAGAATTTGTTTTTCAGATCTACTAAATGACAAGTAGCACATGAAGCAATCCTACAGCGGTATCTTGAACAAGCCATCCTAGATTACTATAGGAACTGACATAGCTGATCTTAAGAGTAGAACAATCCACCTCACAGTAGTATCCCATTGGCTGAGCTGCTGGAAAGTCATAGAGTGTTATAAACCACCAGGCCACTTTATAATTACTGGACTGAGTCAAAGATAATAAAATAAAAAAGACAATTGCAGGGTGAAAGCAAATTTTCAGGGTTTTTCTTTTTGCCATTGAAGAATTGCGAATAGTTTCATGGATTGCCAGTATCCAGGACAAACAGGTAAACAAGGCTACCACAGAGGTTTGAGAAAATAAACTCTTTCTAGCCTTTGAAGAATATATTTTGGTTGCAAAAAGATCTTAATAACTGATCTTAATAAAGATAAAGAGCTATGTTCAAACTTCTTCCCTTATTGTTGGGGAAAAAAAATTATATCAGGAAGGGTCTGAGAGCACCCCCCCCCATGCTTTCAGGGTTTAAAAGATACAGAGGACTATGTTCACATAATATCAGCAAGCAAACAGATGATACAGCAAGCTAGCAGAACTCCTTTTAGAAAGCTTGAGAGAGAGGAGACGTGTTTTGGATTGGTATTTTGGGTTTCTTCTAGGAAGGGCGCATTCCTTGGTAACTGGTCTGTACTTTTCATCTTAGGAAAGTAAAGAAGAAAGCCTTATGATTATTTTACCCGTATTGAGAGGAAAAAAGACAGTAAGTGCCAAGTTTCATTAACTGGGGTGAGGGTCTGGGAAAACCAGGTATAATTTGACACTAGGGCTACAAGCCTTGATTTATGCTGGAACAGCCAGAAACATCCAGGAAATCTCAGAGGTACTCCGTACTATACTCTGTCCTTCTCTCAGCCTGACCTGGATAATTTCAATATACATCATCTACGATATTCCCCAAAGGATCTGATCTGAGGAATATCAAAATCTCCTTGAACAAAGATATTTCCTTCTCAGGCCTATCATGGTAACCGAAATTCTAATGCTGGTTTCTTTAATCAGCAAAGCAATCAATAAACGTGAAATACCTATTGTGAACCAGGAATGGAGGATATAGTAATAATTAAGACAGAATGTGTAGTCAAAGAAGTTCACAAAGAAAATCTAAATCAGAGGTTATGATGAACTGTGGTAAGTGTTATGGCAAAATAATATACACAGGGCATTTGATGAAAGGAGCTGTTGCTTGCCTTGT